TGTTATCGATTTCTGCTGTTAATTCTAATCTCATTGATAAGTAATCGCTAGCACTATCTTCACTTCCCGATTTTTCTCTATTTTCTTGCGTCAAACTGATTTTTTTCACTATTTTCTTAGTAAGTATCATTATATACAAAGTGATATTAACGGTATCCTACGCCCATATGGTTTAGCCCTTTGGCCGATGTTTAGAAGGGAAGCATCACGGGATAATCACTATGACTCACTTATATGGCTCTTAGTGCCTACGCCTGGATCTCACTCCCAGTATACCAGCTACTAGTGTCCTATGCCCCTATGGTTCTGTCCTTTGGCCGATGTTTGAAAGGGATGTGTTACAGGATAATCACTATGACTCATTTATAATGGCTTATAGTGCCTACGCCTAGACCTTTCATCCAGTATACTAGTAGCTTTTTTTTTTATATTATTTTTTAAATCACTTAGTAATTTTTTTTTTTTTTAGATAACATTTTATCATTATATTTGCGACTTTAAAGATGAAGTTGATCCGCAAAGCTGGAATACTTTAAACTGTCTTCAATATTTGAAAGACCGTATACTATTTACATCTGATAGTAAGCAGGAGATCTTGGATGCATTTATAGAAGTCTTCAAGAAACTTGGCAGTTCAACTTTCGTGCATGTTGGAGTACAAAAAAAGCATTAAAATTGTGTGAAAGCGCGAATGAAATGTTCCAAAGAAGAGAGGTTCAAGATTTTTTTAATGATATTGACCACGAGTTTGATGTGGTAAGTGAATTACAACTTTTGTATAACACGGGTTCGTCATATCTATTGCTAATATAAACTTATTATTTTGTAAAAACAAAACAACCGGGAGTTATATAAAAATGTAGAAATTGCAAAAATCTTAATCGCTAAAAAAGCAACAACTCAAATAGAAGAAGTAGTTTTCTTGTTTTCTATCATGTTTATAATTATAGGATTATATAATATTAAAATTATTGATATAATTATTGCAAGACACTAGAGGTTCAAGTTAAAAAGAGAAGAATAGATGAGGTCAACGCATCAGAGACAAGCGACAAATATCTGCATGAAGCTACAGCTGTACTTAATGAGGATAATGATAAAAATATAAATAATTATTGTAAACTATTAGACCCCGAGTCGACAAATCCTTCTTTTTTGTAAGTTCTCAATATAAATAATAGCAGGGTCTCAGCGTAGCTAATTGCTTTCTATAATGAAGCTGATTTGGAACTTTCTATCCTGAATCGTACTTATACAAATTTATTAATCACATAAATTCTATTTTTAAAATCCGTATTGCATAGAATATTTTTGATGACCTTTTAATAAAATATCGTTGGAGTGTGATTTAACTTTTGATACTTTTAGAGAATTATTAAACCAAATGTTTTTGTATTTTAATTATTTAGGATGAAGAAGAATTGATGACTCTGTCTTATCAAATAAAAAAATCGAATAATCTAATAAATAAAGTTAGAATATAATATTTTTGTTTATTTCTAACTTTTCAAGATTTTAAATTAAATTAATTTTTTATAGGGTGATACATTGCCTAATGGCATCAAAATTAAAAAACCAAATCGCCTAAACTTAATATCATCTGATGAATCCTCTCAAGAGACTGACAATGATGAAGACATACCCTTAGATGAATCATTTATCTCCACCTCTAATAATTCAAAAATTTGAACTCTGCCTTTAGTAAAAATGTTAATGATATCTATACTAGCAAGGTATTCGAAAACGCAAAAGAAACTAAAAGAAAAATCGGGAAGTGAAGATAGTGCTAGCGATTACTTATCAATGAGATTAGAATTAACAGCAGAAATCGATAACA